ACCAAGATATATATATAATTTTTTTTTTGCTTCTTTTAGTTAAGTAAAAATTTTCCAATGACAGAGTGAGAATAAGTGGTTACGTAGATTAAATGTGCACCAACTACTTGTTTCAAAAATTACATCACGTAACTGAAAAAACAATGGTTTTTTTTTTTTTTTTCAACTGCTGTTTACCACTATACTGACAACAAATTAATCATTTAAAACGTTCATCTCAAGCTAAATCATTAATTCATAAGTGTTGTGTATAAATTGGTTCGAAGGCTTGATTGATTCATATTGGAACATAATCGCTTAGATGTACAGAAAATTACTGTACTGCTGATTAAAATTTCAAAGAATGATAACAAAAATCATCTAATATGTATTGTTTGGCTATATTATTCGGAAAAATGTTTATACAACATTTTTTTGTTAACCTTGAAATTATAAAGCGAGCACAAGTTGGCACAGGCTACGTGATGTCGTTGACATGGCTTTATTAGTGCCATTTTCTAGCTCAAACGAGTAGCATTTGACCCTTTTGACACTTTTCACCGTCGTAATATTTTGCTTGTAATTATAATAATAATAATAATAATAAAAAAAAAAAAAAAGATGGCCATGGCAAACGAGCACGGCTATCCCGCGGAGGAGCACATAGTGAAGACAGCGGACGGCTACAAACTACGTATACACCGGATACCCGGTAGTCCATCGAAACCAAAGGCACCGGGAAAACCAGTTGTTTTTTTTCAACACGGAGTCTTCGCTTCCTCGGATACGTGGATCCTCATGGGTCCGGATCACGATTTGGGTGAGGCCTTTTTTCTTCCGCACTTTCGTTATTTCCTCTTACCGATAAATTAGTTCTGTGAATCCATCTTCGGCGGGACAATGCTCAATGGTTTTTTTTTTTATTTTTTTTTTTTTTTTTTTTGTGTGTTGCGAATCATGCAGTATTTTTAAGTTAAAGAGTGATAATGACGAAATGGTTAATGTCTCGTGAGAACATTTGGCAGACATATTTTCGAGGTGTAAACTTACGCGAAAGGGAAAGGAGGAAAAAACGCGACTGACGTGATTTTTAAGTGCAGTTCACTTCAAGAATTATACGTACTTTTCAGGGGTATCAAGGATAGGTAATTTAAAAAAAAAGGCACGTCCGAGTTGTTTGCATTCATTAAATGTAATTTTTATACCAAATACGCACGAATGCGACAAATTTACTGATCACACTTTACTCAAATGGTGACAACGTTAACCACAATATCAGAAATTAAAAAAAAAAAAAAAATCAAGTTATTCAATTTAAAAAAGTCATTTGTAATTTTTGAAATTTTACAATAACATAAAGCTAATTGTACAATTTTACGTAATTACGTGTATCCTGAACCAAATTTTAAAAATAAACGAACAAGACAAAACATTGCCTGTAACTTTGGAGCAAGTTTAATCATCATTAGATCACGCGTACACTTGAACTCATTTATTTTCCATTTAACTTAGATACTTCAAATGTGCGTCTAGTCGTAAATGCATCGAGCAAATATACAATACGTTGCATCGATATGCATTCGTGGCTGTTGGTCAAGGTGAACCAGTCCTCCCCCCGCACTCGTAGTGCGTATAATACGAGAATGAAAAATCTACAAAAAAATTTTATATAGACATGCATGTCGTAGGTTGAATGACTAACTTGAAATTTGAGCGCCGAGGCAGGTGTGAAAAAAAAAAAAAAAAAAAAAAACATGCGGTGTAGCGTTTTGCAGAGCTGAAAATCAGTGTTGTTAAGTGATTTCAAATTCAAGAATAAAATAATGATAAAATATGAGACATGCATACCACTGTACGCAAAATGTTGAATTCAACTGTACGAGTACCAATAGATTAATAAAAAAATTTTGTGTGTAAATTATGATCACAGACAGGAATGTGTAAAATAGTTATAAATGAAGCAATTTAAAAAATATTTGACATTGTTACGTATAAGGCAGTAAATTAATCATGACATAATGGCTGATGATTTTTTTTATATCATACACTTTCATAAAAACAATAGAGTCAACTCTCATAATACTTTCCTAAAGCAATTACAAGAATTTAAATGTATTTTGTCAAGGTATCCATAATAGTTGACGACTGTTTACTTGTTGATCGAATAAGATTTATTTTTGAAACCTACCAGCTTGCACTTTGTAGATTTTTTTTTTTACTCGAAGCCAATCAACGTTACTCATCTCTTATAGAATACTGTACGTGGATGATCAATTATCAGATGATGCTTTATCATTGCATTGTTTGCTACTATAGCACGCCTGTCATGAATTTTTCATAAACACAAGGAAAAAATAACTATTTTATGTAACCTTTTTTTTGTAGATTTTTATCAATCTCCAATTTTTCCAAACATTGTTATTGAAAAAAAAAAATTTTTTTTTAAACATCTATCAACATTTAAACTGAGTCGAGATTAGCATCGCACGTATACAAGTTCAAAACATAAATCTTTAATTATTTACAAGCACTATAGATTTTCCGTTTCCACGAATCTATTAAAATATATTTTATTTCAAAGCTTGCAAATAATGGTTTTAGCGTACATGTTAGCTGACATTGGCTACGATGTTTGGCTGGGGAACGCACGAGGAAACACTTACTCCCGCTCGCATGTAAAGCTATCACCTAACCATAATCCGAAATTCTGGCAGTTCAGGTAATGGCTTTTTTCTAGAAAACAAATTTTTTTTTTTTTTACCGTCTTTTGAATTAACACACGATTCACGCAAAGATAAATTTTTTCTTATTCGTCAGAAATTTTTTTTTTTGTTCACTTGCACTCGTGTAGAATAATAAAATTTACTCGAGTCATTCACTTGCAATTTTGCCTGTAAGTAGGGAATGTGAATATAAAAACAACGACATTTAGCTATACATGAACAGGTGTCTAAATTCTTCAATTCCTCAATGAAACAATTGCAATTAATAATTGATTTCCCAGTTAAAAATTGTTTCAATCAAGAAATAACTGTAATTACTAACGGAAAAGTATTTCAATTAATAATTATTTTATTTTATTTAATTATTGAAAACCCTGTACA